CATCCAGTGCATTTAATGTTTCAGCCAGGACAGCAGCTGTGGGGTTCTCAGGCCTAATATCTTGATTCTAAACATTTCGAGTGCAGAAGACCAATCTCCGTAATGTAATGCACTGTGAGGTCATATATGGGTTCATGTGTAGAGCTGGACATATCTGTCGTTGCGGAGAAGAAATTGTACATGTTTGTATGTATTCAGACACACTTTTGACTTTGTTGTAAAACGCAGGAATGGCAGTTTCAGACAGGTATCGTCTTTTTTGTAAACTCGTATTGGTTTATCTAAGTCCCGCAGCATGTCTCTAAACAGCGGGTTTATCCACAGTGTTAAATGGCAACATCTCTTTAGCGATGTATTGTTACGTGTTTGTGAGGGTGCGACCATTTACGCTCTCTCGTTTATACGTTGGCACCTTGGGCAAAACAATCTTCTTACGAAAAGGTGTCTACCAGAGATGGTCCTGCCTGTTCAAATTGCTGCTTTTCTACCAGCGGTGCATACACACATTTGGTGTTATTGCTTTTCAGATGGCTTTTGTGGTTTGTGGTGTTTCCAGTCTTTGTTGCGACAACTTTTTTGCAAAGGATTATACCGGCATGTTTCAGAGTGCTGGGCTCCCACGTGCGTTCGGCTTGTAGCCGAAAATGTTCCCATACTGCGGCAGTTGAATCGGGGCTTCTTGATCGGGCTTGTTCCGCCGCCATTTGATTTGAACTGACGTTCCAAAAGCACTCGCTTCTAGCACGCTCTCGAGTTTACGTTCCAACTACGGCTCTATGTCCAGCTTGCGTCCTCGCGATTACGGCTTGGAGCGATGACGTAAGGCGATAGCTGGCGCATCGCAATATGCGAATGAGCTCATTTGAGTCTCCAAACGTTATTTGTGCTTGTTTATATTTATCGATCGATTTAATCGAAATAGTAATTATCGTGACAGGCCTACGTTGGTCGGATGCATTGCACGGAGGCAGTGGAGGCACACTTTCCATTCACCATCATGGAGATAGGACGAGGATCCAGTCCAAACAGGTCCGTTTCATATCCGTATCCGTTATTTCCATGAGGGGAATTGGAAGTGGCTTCCACTGCCTCCAACATCCGGATTCCATCAACGGAGGTGTGCAACGGACGCGGACGGACGAAATAGAAACAATCCTATTTATTACCGTCGACGCGTGTTGGGTCCCGTTCCAATTGGAAATACAATGAATAATATATATATTTTTTTATTCTTTATTTACTACATTATTATACATGTATTGATATATGCTGTAGTCTGGTTATAAGTGTTAGTTAATGACAATGATTATTAACAAAAGTGTAATTTTTTTCATGTTTTAATTTTATTAATTGTTTCATGTCGTACATCTACCATTTTTCTTTCGCGTAATGTTTATCTTTACATACACCTCGCTTCTTTTTTCTCTTGCTCTGTCCCCTCTGGACATGCTCGTTCCCCTTGGAATCTTGCTCTGTACCCTTGGACACTTTGCTGTGTCCCTTGGGACACTTGCTCTGTCCCCTTAGTTTTTTGACACTTGCTGTGTCACACCTTGGAAACTTGCTCTGTCCCCTTGGACACTTGCTCTGTCCCCATGGGGAACACTTGTCTGTCCCCTTGGACCTTGCTGTGTCCCCTTGGAAACTTGTGGGTACCACTTGGACAACTTGCTCTGTCCCCTGGACACTTGCTGTGTCCCCTTGCTCTCTCCTCACCGCTGTGCGCTCATCCACTCACACACACACAAATTACCCACAGAGCTACTGAACTTATGAGAGACAGATCTCAACTCTGGATATGTTGGAGTTCTTTTCTCTCTCCATTTTTCCATTCTTTCATTAAGTTCAGACCATAGTCCGTTTCGGACGTCGAGGACAGCAGCAAAACGGGTCAACAGGAGACGCGCGCTCCGTGGATGTCAGAACCCTCACCGTGCAATACCTCAAAAGCACGTACTTTAGTGGAGACGAGCGGAACCAGAAATGTTTATGATCTACTCTGCTATTCCACCAGTAGAAAGGATCCTTGACTGATTATAAGGGCTGTAGGATGTTACCATTGTTTTCATAAAATGGTCGACATAGTTATTGCACAGTTCATTTGTAAACTTATGTGTTTTTCTTCTCAGTTTAGAGGGTATTCTTGACCTTTAATTAGAGCATTCATTGGTTGGATTAACATTTGTTTCGTGTTTACTTGGGATATTGTTATAATCTACAGTTAATTACACATTTCTAATGATAGTACATGTTAATTTGTAATGGCTTTTTGCTAGAATTTCTCAATTTTATTGTATTTACAATTGCAAAGGGCCTTATTGTCTTTTGTTGTTGGTGTTTTCGGGCTATCTATAAATAGTCTAATTTTTAACTTTTTCTTGACTGACAGGGTAGTTTTTTTCAATATCTAAATTGCATAGGACTGCAGTTAGTTTATTGAAGTAGCTTCTATATAGCCAAATACTTTTGACAGTATTTTGTACTTAGCTTGCTGCATTTTTATGGGTGGTAGCTTCTGTAAAGTGATGCTGAATTTATTGTAGAGTGCTTAGCTAACTGCATACAATAAAGTAGCTTGCGATCACTGGTAGTTTATGTAGTAACATGTGAGAGCTAGCTGCTAATCTGGGGGACTGCGTGCGTGTGATATGGAGTGACCATGAGGATTTGTGTTTTCTTTTCTTTTTATACAGGTATGTTGTGCAACGCAATATTGTTATTATTTACGCGGTAATTTATGGTTACCTGTTTGTTTTCTTGTGTTCTTTTGGTCTGCTACTGTATATGCACTGTGTTGCTGTGTTCAGTCTGCGCCTAGCGTCTGAGGAGGGGACTGCGAGCGTGTGATATGGAGAGATCCATGAGGTTTTGTGTTTTATTTTTTTTTATACAGAACTGCTGATTAAGTCAACCAAGTGATCCTGAATTGTGTACGTCGTTTGTTGCTTAATCAGCCAGCGCACCCCTATGTCAGACTGTACATTTCCTTTTTCTGTTTCTAAAGCTCATTGTATGACGTCAATAGTTTATATATCTGTTCATAGCCACTTGATACAAGAACCAGGGACTGAGGCTGTAGACCCAGGACTGGAGGCTGTATACCCAGGACTGAGGCTGCAGACCCATGGTACTGAGGCTGCAGACCCAGGACTGAGGGCTGTAGACCCAGGGACTGGGCTGTAGACACAGGTCTGAGGCTGTAGGACCCAAGGACTGAGGACTGTAGACCACAGGACTGAGGCTGTAGACCCAGGTTGAGGCTGTAGACCCAGGACTGAGATGCAGACCATGACTGAGGCTGCAGACCCAGGACTGTGCTCAGACCAGGACTGAGGCTGTAAGACCCAAGGACTGAGGCTCTGACCCAGGACTGGAGGCTGTGACCCAGGACTGAGGCGTTGTAGAAGTGGCTTCATATACAGGGTGGGGGGTGTAGCCCATGGGTCGGGAGCAAACCAGCTTTTATTGCAGAAACCCGATGTTTGTTGTTGAAAGGAACAATATCATTTCTCACTTCTACACACCATCAAAACATTTTAGAATTATCTGACGGTTGTTGTGTTTGTTGCAGATCTACAAAGTCCATCTACAGAATGGGGGTCACCTGTGATCAGTGTGGAAAGTCCTGCAGCTCTGTTCTGATTAAAAGAGACACACATGAACTCACACACTGGAGGAAAACATACCGAGTGTGATCTGTGGGAACTTGTTTTACTACATAACAAAATCATCTAAGGTCCACAACTGGATTCCACCCTGGAGAAATACCCTTCAGCGCAACGTTTGTGATCAGAGTTTTAGACAAGAGGGTACTCTCCAAAGGTCATCAGAGGATCCACACTGGAGAGAACCAATGTTGAGTGTGACCAGTGTGAAAAAAACATTTAGGACCAAAACAGCTGCTTCTACACTAATCAGCATGTCCACAAGGAGAGAGACTCACCAATTGTGACCAGTGTGAAAGACTTTACATGTTTTATCTCACCTCACTGATCATACAGAATCCACACTGGAGAAAACCATTCGTTGTGGAGACTGTGGGAATACGTTTACTCAGTCTTCACCTACAAAGCACATGAGAGAATCCACATTGGAGAGAACATCCTTCAGCTGCGACGATTGTTCCCTTTTTTTCCCCCCCCCCCCCCCCCCCCCCCCCCCCCCCCCCCCCCCCCCCCCCCCCCCCACCCCACCCCCCCCCTTGGTCAGTGTTTTTCTCGGGTGATCATCTCAAGTGCATCAGACAGACCAGAGAGGGACCAGAGAGGGACCAGAGAGGGACCAGAGAGAGACCAGAGAGAGACCAGAGAGGGACCAGAGAGGGACCAGAGAGAGGACCAGAGAGAGACCAGAGAGGGACCAGAGAGAGACCAGAGAGGGACCAGAGAGGGACCAGAGAGGGACCAGAGAGGGACCAGAGAGAGACCAGAGAGAGGGACCAGAGAGGGACCAGAGAGAGACCAGAGAGGGACCAGAGAGAGACCAGAGAGAGACCAGAGAGAGACCAGAGAGGGACCAGAGAGGGACCAGAGAGAGACCAGAGAGGGACCAGAGAGGGACCAGAGAGAGACCAGAGAGAGACCAGAGAGAGACCAGAGAGAGACCAGAGAGGGACCAGAGAGGGACCAGAGAGGGACCAGAGAGAGACCAGAGAGGGACCAGAGAGGGACCAGAGAGAGACCAGAGAGAGACCAGAGAGGGACCAGAGAGAGACCAGAGAGAGACCAGAGAGAGACCAGAGAGAGACCAGAGAGAGACCAGAGACCGACCAGAGAGAGACCAGAGAGAGACCAGAGAGAGACCAGAGAGAGACCAGAGAGAGACCAGAGAGAGACCAGAGAGGGACCAGAGAGGGACCAGAGAGAGAGGCTTTGACATTATCCTCTGTTAACGTGAGACTGTGGCCAGAGCATGAAGCAGTCTGTGTCACTGCTCAGAGAGACTGGGATGAGTCTGGTCTGAATATTCTTCCTCGGTCAGATTAAGACTTCCTGCCACGTTCAGACAGTGCCTTGCCCAATGACCGGGGAACAGATGGTAGTTCGATGCAGTTTCTCACCCATGTGTTTCTCGATGAAGGCGTTGTCTGTCAAAGGGATTCTCTTGGAACCGATCCTCGTCTGTCCTCTCTTCAGGATGAGCTCACGAACAGATTTCAAGTTTGGGAATCTGTGGAATAAAAACAGTTCAATTTAAAGAAACTTTAGACCCTCTAAAGAAATCTGACGTCAATCAGAATCACCCAATACTTTAGTAATTAATATTATCGTTAACTAAGGTTAAGATCTGTAAATAACCAGCGCCAAGTACGATCCATGAGCGAGAGACAAGAGAGAGAGACCACAGACACCAGAGAGAGACCACAGAGAGACCACAGACACCAGAGAGAGACCACAGACACCAGAGAGAGACCAGAGAGAGACCACAGACACCAGAGAGAGACCACAGAGAGACCACAGACACCAGAGAGAGACCACAGACACCAGAGAGAGACCAGAGAGAGACCACAGACACCAGAGAGAGACCACAGACACCAGAGAGAGACCACAGAGAGACCACAGACACCAGAGAGAGACCACAGAGAGACCACAGACACCAGAGAGAGACCAGAGAGAGACCACAGACACCAGAGAGAGACCAGAGACACCAGAGAGAGACCACAGAGAGACCACAGACACCAGAAGACCACAGAGAGACCACAGACACCAGAGAGAGACCACAGAGAGACCACAGACACCAGAGAGAGACCAGAGAGAGACCACAGACACCAGAGAGAGACCACAGAGAGACCACAGACACCAGAGAGAGACCACAGAGAGACCACAGACACCAGAGAGAGACCACAGAGAGACCACAGACACCAGAGAGAGACCACAGACACCAGAGAGAGACCACAGAGAGACCACAGACACCAGAGAGAGACCACAGACACCATAGAGAGACCAGAGAGAGACCACAGACACCAGAGAGAGACCAGAGAGAGACCACAGACACCAGAGAGAGACCAGAGACAGACTACAGACACCAGAGACAGACCAGAGAGATCAAACCTGCTGGTCTGAGTGCTGCTGCAGCTGTCATAAGCCGTACACACACAGTACAGCTGCAGAGGACTCTTTCTGAGACTGTTAAAGTGAGACTGTGGCCAGAGCATGAAGCAGTCTGTGTCACTGCTCAGAGAGACTGGGATGAGGTCTGAATATTCTTCCTCTGTCAGCTTAAGACTTCCTGCCACGTTCAGACAGTGCCTTGCCCAATGACCGGGGAACAGATGGTAGTTCAATGCTGTTTCTCACCCATGTGTTTAAGGGGCAGGACTGAGGGCTATAGAGAGACTAGAGAGGCCAGAGAGAGGCCAGAGAGAGGCCAGAGGGGGACTAGAGACCAGAGAAAGAGAGAGAGACCCTTGTAATGTATTGATCCTTTCTTACTCAGGGGGATGTAAACCCATGACGTTCACTCACCCCCAGGCCACGTACGGCTCCACCATCTTCAACATGGCGGTGGAGGTTTTTCCAATTTTAACAAAGGTCCCACTGAAGATCTTCCGTAATCTCAACATCTGAATGACCTTCATGACTTTAGGGCTCACTCCTTTGATCCTGAAAAAGAGAAAAAAGAATCGTTTTATCTCAACCCTCTCTGCGCCACGGTGGGAGTTTGTGTGTTCATGTCCCGGTGAATTTTATGTCTGTCAGTGAAAAAATAAATAAATAAATTATATATATATATACACACACACACACTCCATGATTGCCGCCACAGAGTATAGTCCTGATCTCAGAGTTGCAGTAATGTGGTGTGGGACAATATCACCATCTCTCAAATTCAAAAACACTAAAAAAAGGTTTTAAAAAGGCCTGAAATTTGGAAATATCAAACTCTGGAGAAACACAAAACAACTTTATCATCTGTATGTTTTAACAGATTGAATGTTTGGTCTGTGACAGCTTTGTGAAGTCCTCTAAGACGGATACTGACTCTCTGATTCTGACGACGAACCCGAGGCCGTGTGTCGTCGGCGGCGGCGGCTTCGAAGGTCGACTCTTGTTCCTGCGAAGGCGACATTCATCTCGATGTTTTTTGTGGCTGTGTTTTAAAAAGTCTTCCAACCGCTTAAACTTCAGGGGTTTGCCTTTTGTAACCTTGGAAACAAAACAAACCGAGTCATTCCTCCACAAACATCAACACGAAGACTGGTCCCGCAGGTTTTCAGTCCAAGTGTTCATGTGTTTTTATGGATTATGTTTATGAAATGTTCTGCCAACTACACAGCAGCAAAATACTTTTCTACAACACAAGGATGACTGAATAAATTGTATACAAATAAATAAAATACAGATTCTAACAGAACAAACCTTTCTTTTTTCAAGGAGCGCGAGTTTGGCCTGAGTGGCTTTGATGGCCTGATACGCCTTTCTCTTCTTCAGCAGATATTCAGGAACCAACTTAATGACTTTTGGAGGAGTTCTGGAACAGAATCACAACAGAAGAAATTAAGTCATGATAAAAAAAATCCATAACGACTAATAGTCCAAGAAATGTTGGCAATAAACGACAATACAACGATACATTTTAACATGGCATCATCCATCTTGAATGTTCTGTGAGAGATTATGATAGAAACAGAAAAAAACTAAAATACACGAGTCAAGCCCAGTGTGTTCATGGTGCAGTGAGGTTAAAGTGTGTCTGCGACAGGAGTGAGGCCCGGTGCAGGAGCTTTGTGCCTTTAACACATAATAAAGATAAATCCTCGATACATGAGTCAGAACGATAATAGTTCATGCTTAAAGGGTGATTTGGTGGAGAAGCATCGTTTTGCTTGGATCGAGTCTCACAATCTCTAGTTTTTCAGCTCATCCGCGGTTAACACCAGTTCATTCTGACTTCATTAAAACTAAAAGGACTCAGTTTAAATTCTGCATCAGAAAAAGATCAGAAAACACGACACAAAACACAGGATGAGAGTAGATTCAAACACAGGCGTGTACTTACGCTTCTTCCATCCTGGAACTGTGGCGTCGCACGAGTTTGACGTCACCGTTGTTGACTGTGAGGTTGAAATAAGTGACGCCACCTGCTGTAGAGGAGGCGAACTGCCCCCGACTGAGGGAAATGAACGTTTTCTTGGCATTTTTTAAAGTTTAAATTAAATTCAAAATTAGGTTAAAAACAGGATTAGGAATAATCTTATTTATTTGAATGGAACAGTGCTTAGCAATGAACGGACACATTAGACAGTCACAAAGGCATCTGTAGTCCCGTAGTCACAAGGACCTGTGAGTCTGAGCTCCAGGAGGGTCCACTCTGACATTGCACACCCCCGGGTCCACGGATCTATTATATGAACCTCAGCCATACTGATAATATTTAGTCTATGAGCCATACAGGAGTCAGCCCCACGAAAATGTCCGAACATAGTTCACCAAACACCGCCAAACTGCAATTCCCAAGAAAAACACGAAAGAATGTCCTGCAACCAACGGACCAGCTGGGTTAGGAGTAAGATGTAGAAGCCGAATTATCCTTGGAGACTCGACGATAAACTGTTTCGATTAAGCCAATTTGCGCATGCGCATTGTAGCACACTTCTGTAGCCACAGCTGCCCTGGGACACATTAACGGAAGCGAGGCAACCAGTCTGTGCCACCATAGAACCAAATTCACTGTCGGTAATGTGACAGACTTGGGACCAGAGGTCCTCCATCACAGTCCTAACCAGGCCCTGTCCTGCTTAACTAAAGAGTCTGATGGAGTCTGGCTTTCACAGCGCCCCCCAGTGTTTACTGAACCAAACACACAGCGTGCATTTTACAGATAACTCATGGGAAGAATAGATCCATGGTTAATATTTACAGTCGGCGCCAATTCCAAAGTACAGACTGAGACTCACTGCATTTTATTTCTTTAAACTTCAGAAAATCAACACAATATTTACCATTACTCTATCACATTGTAAATGGTACTACCATATCTTACCATAACTCCTCTCATGTGAACCCACAACAAACATGACGCCATTAAGGAACATTTAAAACCCTTTATTATTTATATGATAAAATTATACACAATTGCAACTTCTTATTGTTTCTTGCACATCTCTTCGTTGGGAGACAACGGCCACTGGAGCCAGTCTTCTTTCTCTGCTCGACCTTCAGCACCTGCAAAAAACATGCATTAGTGAAAAAGGCAGACGATAGTGACAGAACTGGTCATGTGCGGAGAGAGAAGACATTCTGGGGAATAAGGAAGCATTCCATGAAAAGTGAACACACCACAAAACACCTGAGTCAGCGATTGTGAAATTATGAGAGAAATGTGTAAAAACCAATCCATAAAAACCCAACACAGTGACCTCAGGCCGGAGGCTCTAGCCCCGTGCAAAAGTCTGTTCTCGTTATTGTCCTCTAACACTGGACCAATTCATGTGACATTATAACCCACTTCTGTATTTGGCAAATTTATTTTTACCGGACTCAGTCTCCACGCTCTCAGAAGGATGAAGAGATTCTGTTGAAGAGTAATGTTTAAATTAAGCACAAACCCCAGTTACCTAGTGTAACTAAGGCTCTATGAATATATGGAGAAGCCCTTTAGCCTTTGCTATTGCATCTCTCAGAAGCATCGCTTCCCGCCCTGAGGAAATCAAACAATCCACCGTTCCAATCACCTTGACGTCCTGCGTAGGCCAGTCTCCATATAAGGCCCTGCACCACAGCTCTTCTTTCAAACTCAGCCGAAGCTGGGCCCGAAGCTAAAGGGCTTAAAAACATATTCATAGCCCAGAAGACGCAGGATTTGTGGCTGTCAGCTTGGGAGAGACCCAGACCCCCAGCCTGACTCTGGAGGGTGACAAGATCTCAGGCACGGGAGGAGTCTTGCTCATTAAACTAGTATCGAAGCTTCTCTTTAGGCTAACTAAGAAAGAAGAAGAGCTGTGGTGCAGGCCCTTATATGGAGATTGGCCTACGCAGGACGTGTAGTGCAGGCCCCTTATATGGAGACTGGCCTACGCAGGACGTGTGGTGCAGGCCCTTATATGGGGACTGGCCTATGCAGGACGTGTGGTGCAGGGCCTTATATGGAGATTGGCCTACGCAGGACGTGTGGTGCAGGCCCTTATATGGGGACTGGCCTACGCAGGACGTGTGGTGCAGGGCCTTATAATGGAAACTGGCCTACGCAGGACGTGTGGTGCAGGCCCTTATATGGGGACTGGCCTACGCAGGACGTGTGGTGCAGGCCCTTATATGGAGACTGGCCTACGCAGGACGTGTGGTGCAGGCCCTTATATGGGGACTGGCCTACGCAGGACGTGTGGTGCAGGCCCTTATATGGAGACTGGCCTACGCAGGACGTGTGGTGCAGGGCCTTATATGGAAACTGGCCTACGCAGGACGTGTGGTGCAGGGCCTTATATGGAGATTGGCCTACGCAGGACGTGTAGTGCAGGCCCCTTATATGGAAACTGGCCTACGCAGGACGTGTGGTGCAGGCCCTTATATGGGGACTGGCCTACGCAGGACGTGTAGTGCAGGCCCTTATATGGAGACTGGCCTACGCAGGACGTGTAGTGCAGGCCCTTATATGGGGACTGGCCTACGCAGGACGTGTGGTGCAGGGCCTTATATGGGGACTGGCCTACGCAGGACGTGTGGTGCAGGGCCTTATATGGAGACTGGCCTACGCAGGACGTGTAGTGCAGGCCCTTATATGGGGACTGGCCTATGCAGGACGTGTGGTGCAGGGCCTTATATGGAGACTGGCCTACGCAGGACGTGTAGTGCAGGCCCTTATATGGAGACTGGCCTACGCAGGACGTGTAGTGCAGGCCCTTATATGGAGACTGGCCTACGCAGGACGTGTAGTGCAGGCCCTTATATGGAGACTGGCCTATGCAGGACGTGTGGTGCAGGCCCTTATATGGGGACTGGCCTACGCAGGACGTGTAGTGCAGGCCCTTATATGGAGACTGGCCTATGCAGGACGTGTAGTGCAGGCCCTTATATGGAGACTGGCCTACGCAGGACGTCAAGGTGATTGGAGCGGTGGATCGTTTGGTCTTCTCAGGGCGAGAGAGACGCTGCTTCAGCCTTTTAGGCCTTTAGGCTTCACTATCGCTTATGAAATAGAACCTAAATCTGGTCCAATGAAATACCTGGTGCTGCTCCCAGACTAGAGTTATCGAAGAATTGCTTGGGGCACTTTTTTAACAGGAACTCTGAATGGCTTCCACCGTCGAAGATCCGGCTTTTGGGAGAGTTGATCTGAGCGGGAGACTCCAGGACTTTCCTGGGGGAGCCCAGAAGTTTCCTCGGAGAGTCGAACTGGAGTCGTTTCTGTGAGCTGGTCTCCTGGTTCTGCTTCGGTTTGGCCTCCGTCACGCTCTTCATCTTGAGCGCGCGCTGCTTCCACTTGCCGACCTCGGCCTGAAGACTGCTGACCAGGCTGAGGGCGGGACACAAGGAAATGCACGTTAAAAACAGGAATGAATGGTTTTTATGACTACTTTAACTTGTCCTTAGGCTTGTGAGGAATGGGGCCCAGGTGTAAAGATATTTAGCGGGTGTTAGTCTGTAATCACAAGTTTTTTTGTAATGTTTCAGATTACAGTAATCTATTTGCTACTTCCATGCCTGTAATCATTCGACAATAAACAAGTGTCTAAACTGTGGGTCAGGTTCCACACTGTAGCTGCGAAAGGTTGAGTCAATTAATGAGTTCATAAACTCTGCTCTATCACAATAAAAAGACACACATTAGCCGCAGCACTATAAAAGCTGCAGGGTTTGAAGAACTGTCAAAACTTTGCCTGAAGTCAGAGATCAGGGGGATCAGGGAGGAGCGGGCTCTGACTGCCCCCCCGACCCAGAAATGGATTAAGAATCTTTTTACCAGAACATTGATCTTTATCCTTGTGCTGATAAGACTGAGCAGACGAGTGCGAGTCCAAGGCCCAGTCCCAATACCCACACTGCCCCCTACACACTTCTACGAAGTGTGCATTTGTTCGAAGTGCACACCAGGGTTGGAGTGACAGGTTACACGTGTGCAAAAAAGGCAGAATGGGGACAGTGCACTGAGAGCAGGATACGTCATTGACTCGTCAGAGATGGTCCTTTTGACCTAAACTTTATAAACATTAAAGGTAATTTTGTCTGACCCTTTGGGAAACAAAATGAATTGCTTCACACATGTTAAAATACATGTATATTAGTTGTTTTTAATTAGAGATAGCTGTATAATTTTAAGTTAAATGTGGGTAACTATCTATCTGGTCAGTTTTTATACATTCTAAGATTATTGTACTAAGTGTAAAGTTTAAATTGAATGTTATATAAACGCTTGCTTTAAAAATTTATTAAATTGTTAAAACACAATGTCCGTAATTCTTCATCAGACGTTTATGCTTCTTTCCAAGTAAAAGCAAAACTTATTTACACACATACTGCATATATATTTCAAAATGTATATTTAAATGCATTTTCCCGACGATTTGGTGTGTACCGCAAAGAATTATGGGCAATATCCTTCGCCAGAGTGCGCATAGATGCAGGCTACGGCGAAGTGTGGATCAGGGGCGCAAAGGGGGCGGGGCCAAAGACCTCCCTGGAGAATTGGGACTGGACCCTACGCACTCGCACCCTTTATCGGGAACGCACAAATGAGGGGCGCGAGGTGGAAGTGCGAGTGTTGGGACGGGGCCCAACTACGATGTGAGCCTCACCTTGAACTTTGAACCCTGCGGTTTGTACAGCGGTGCAGTTGATGTGTTCAGAGCAGTTTATGGACCTTTTGACTCCAACATTTAGTGGTTACGGTAAAGACTCTGGTGAGTCATGGAAGCTGTTAAACTGTTAAACATCATTAAATCATGTTGTGAATAGTTTATTACAATACACCATAGAAACCTGCGGCTGGTGCGGCTTATAGTCCAGAGAGTACGGTAAATGATATTGGGGGAAAATGAATGAGTGACGTCACCTCTCGAGCTCGGTGATCCTCAGTTTGAGATGTTTGGCCTCTTCATCGAGTCGGCTTTTCTCCAGGACCACGCTGCTCTGGACCAGGCCTTTAGGGCGGACCAGGCGGGCGTGAAGAGCCTCCCCCTCCAGCACTGCACCATCAACACACAGTCAACCATCAACACACACACACAGTCAACCATCAACACACACACACAGTCAACCATCAACACACACACACACAGTCAACCATCAACACACACACACACAGTCAACCATCAACACACACACACACACAGTCAACCATCAACACACACACACACAGTCAACCATCAACACACACAGCCAGCACCAGAGCTGGTTCTTGGTCTTCATAAATAATACTGGAGAAAAACTCAATTTTTGGGGGAATTTCTCAGAGTTCAATTGGTTTGAACGGGAGGACTCAAAATGACGGCTCTGAAGGTGATTCCTTATTCGTCCCACTGTGGGGACATTTCTGGGAGACCTAGTTTTAGAAATGTACTTTTGCAACAAACAAAAAACAAAGCAAAAGAATTCCATTAATGTTTCTTACTGGACTCTTCCTCCTGCTTTGAGCGAAGAGTTTCTTTGAGCCTCCTCAGCGTGGTCTCCTTTGCCTCGAGAAGTGACGTCAGCTTCTGAATCCTGACACACAGACACAGAGACACACACACACAGAGACACACACACAGACACAGACACACACACAGAGAGACACACACACAGACACAGACACACACACAGACACACACACAGAGACACACACACACACACACACACACAGACACAGAGAGACACACACACACAGAGACACACACACACAGACAGACACACACAGACAGACACACACAGACAGACACAGACAGACAGACAGACAGACACACACACAGACAGACACACACACAGTGACTGTCAGTAAACCCGGTGGCTCAGAACAAACTTTCAGGTCACTTACTCGTGTCTGTAGTTCTGAGACTCTGTTTCCAGTTTGGACACTTTCAGGTTTAGTGTTTCCACCTCCACAGCTTTAGCAGATGAATTCCACTGTCAGACACAAACATTCCAACACATGTTTATAACAAAGTGATAAAGTACAGGACAGGTCTAGTTCCACATCTAGACCAGAGGTGTCCAAACTAATGCAGCCTGAATCCAGTAGAACAGTTTAGAGCAACCATCAGTTTAATGTGCCTGCGCTGTCCTTTGAATAAGATACATGTCCTGAATGTGTGAAACTCATACAATCAAGTTTGAGACTATAATCTCAGAGGTAAAAACAGACACTGTAAACTACAGACTGGTCTGGAGTCTTACCTCAGACTGAGACTGCTGCAGACTGGTCTGGAGTCTTACCTCAGACTGAGACTGCTGCAGACTGGTCTGGAGTCTTACCTCAGACTGAGACTGCTGCAGACTGGTCTGGAGTTCTTCCACTTCTTCCTCCTTCTCCTGGAGCTTGGCACACGTGTCTTGGAGCTCCGTCTGCAGAAGCTGAGTTGCTTCTTTATGAGAAGCTACGAGATGTTCGGCTTTAACCTGGGCCTTTTGAAGCTCCTCTTTCTCTGCGCTTAAAATCTGGAATAAAATAAATGAGCATCCACTTCTGCAGTTTAAAAATAGAATAAATAGAGAAAGGTTCCAGACATACTTTCAGAAGGTCTTGGGTCGTGTGTAGTTGATGCAATAACCTCTGATTGTCGTTCAGGAGCGACGCTTCAGATTTGAGAGGTGCTGATTCCAGCCCGTGCTGCAGAGTAAACCTCTTACTCCTCTCGTCCTCCAGCAGAGCCTTCTCCTGAGCCACCTGCTCACTCAGCTGTTTCAGAGACTCATCCTGATCTTTGGAGAAATCCTGTAAAGACAAAGAAACTCAGATTCTGTTCAACCAGCACGAGCTGTTTCACAGTCTCCAAGATGAAGAAGCTGCAGCAGCGCTCAGACCAACATCCAGAGGGTTAGTGTAGTCAGTGTGTGGGGTTTAGAGCCTTAAACCAGTCACTGATTTCACTTACAGCAGGATACTTATAGAACGTTACCCATGAGATAAACAAGGCCCGAGGATCTTCCAGAGTAATATATGAAAGAACTAATCTCGTCATGAAAGGTACTATTCTACTTCAGTAAATTGGTGAAAGCTGCACACGGTAAAAAGTACCTTGAAAATGGCGTCTCTTTCCTGAATGTAGTCGTTCCGCTGCTGCTGCTCTGTTCCAAAGAACACGTCCAGAGCCAACAGATCGACAGGTTCTTTACGGCATATCTCACTCAGCTGCGTCTCAAACCGGTCTTTTCCTTCTAATTCGGCGTTGAGCAAGTCACCGTAGAATCCATTAATGTTCTTCATTGTACTGTCTATTTTCTAAAAGAGAGAAAGTTAAACACACACAGGTTGGTACAGTGTCGTCTGGATGGGCTAAACACAGGTTTTTCAGTGTAATCCACAAAGCTGCAGGAGGAAGTCTGTAATGTCAAGGCTGGGTCAGGAGTCTCAGGATCCAAAATATGGTCATGGTAGATATTCCATAAACATCTTGCTGCATTAGTGTAGGAAGGAGCGCTACCGCAGGGCCTTCATCCCCACCGCTGTCAGACTGTACAATAAGTCACTTTAAATGATCACTGTGTGAAAACCTGCACTACTAGGCAAGGCAAGGCAAGGCAAGGCAAGGCAAGGCAAGGCAAGGCAAGGCAAGGCAAGGCAAGTTTATTTATATAGCACAATTCATACACAAGGCAATTCAAAGTGCTGAACAAAACAAGAAAGCATTAAAATCATAAATAATCACAGAACATTAAAAAGAAAGATACAAATATAAAATCCCTCAGTTGTATGCACAGCTAAACAGAACTGTCTTTAACCTGGCTTTAAACATTGTCAGAGAGGAGGCCTGTCTCACATCTCCAGGAAGACTGTTCCAGATTTTAGCAGCATGAATCTGAAAAGCAGCCTCCCCATGTTTAGTTCTGACTCTGGGCACTAACAGGAGTCCAGTCCCTGTGCTCCTCAGAGTCCGGGCTGGTTCATATGGGACTAACATGTCACTAATATATTTTGGTGCGAGGCCATGGAGAGACTTGTACACAAGCAGAGCTGTTTTAAAGTCTATTCTTTGAGCCACAGGAAGCCAGTGCAGAGACCTGAGGACTGGACTAATGTGGTCGTACTTCCTGGTTCTTGTCAGGACTCGAGCTGCTGCATTTTGAATGTACTGCAGCTGTTTTACAGCCTGTTTGGACAGACCTGTGAGCAGGCCATTGCAGTAGTCTAACCTACTGGAGACAAATGCATGGATAAGAATCTCCAAGTCTGCTTTAGACACTATGTTTTTGATCCTGGCAATGTTTTTTAGATGGTAAAAAGCTGCTGATGTTACTGATTTGATGTGGCTATTAAAATTTAAGTCTGAGTCCAGTATTACCCCTAGATTTCTGACCTTGTTTGAAGGTTTTAGGGAGAGAGACTGTAGGTGACAGATGACGCTCTCTCTTTGTTTCTGGGGACCAAAGACAATCATTTCAGTTTTGTCTGCGTTTAGCTGAAGGAAGTTGTTTTGCATCCACTCACTGATCTGTTGGATACAGTGAAGGAGTGAGTCCACTGGTCCATGTTCTCCTGCAGTCAGTGAGACATAGATCTGAGTGTCGTCTGCATAGTTATGATAGGAAACTTCGTTTCTGCGTATTAACTGACCTAACGGCAGCATGTAGAGATTGAACAGAAGAGGTCCCAGGATCGACCCCTGTGGTACTCCACAGGTCAGGGCCATATGATCTGAGACACAGTTTCCAATCTCCACAAAGTACTTCCTGTCCTCAAGGTAAGACCTAAACCAACTTAGGGCGGTGCCAGCGACTCCAACCCAGTCCTCTAATCTCTGTAAGAGGATCTCATGGTCGACGGTGTCAAAGGCAGCACTTAGATCTAACAAGATTAAGATTGAGACTTTGCCTGCGTCAGTGTTCAGCCGGATATCGTTTGTAACCTTGACGAGAGCAGTCTCAGTGCTGTGGTGGGGTCTAAAGCCGGACTGAAACATATCAAATGAGTTGTTGATTATAAGAAATCTAGTAAGCTGTAGGTAGACAACTTTTTCAAGGACTTTCCCCATAAATGGCAGATTTGAGATGGGACGATAGTTGTTAAGTACCGTAGCATCGAGACTGCTCTTTTTTAGCAGGGGCCTGATGACTGCAGTTTTCAGGGCCTTTGGGAATATTCCAGAATGAAGGGACATGTTTACTATCTGTGTGAGTGAAGGTAACAGACTGCTCAGAACAGACTTCAGAAATCTAGTGGGTAGTACATCCAAGCTGCATGTGGAGGCGCTCAGACTGGAGATTATCTCTTGGACAGTTTTATCATTTACAGGTGCAAAGTGAGTTAGCTCAGAGAGCCTTTCTGGCTGTTGGATGGTTATCTGTGGATTGGAGACAATGGCGTTTTTGATGCCTTGAACCTTGTCATTGAAAAAATTTGCAAACTCATTGCATTTACGTTTGGAAGTAGGCTCTAATGGCATTTGAACAGGGGGGTTTGTTAATCTATTAACTGTTGAAAACAGAACACGCAGATTGTTGCTGCAGCCTTCAATCATTTCAGAAAAATACCTTTCTCTCGTACTACGTAGCACCCGGTTAAACTCGCACAACTTATCTTTGAAGATCTCGTAATCAACCTGGAGGTTGGACTTGCGCCACTTCCGCTCGGCCCTCCGGCACTTTCTCTTTTGTGCCCTGACCGAGTCTGCTTTAGACTATTGACACCGTTTCCAATTGACACTTGTCACTTTTATTGTACATAATTATCCTGCATGTAACATGTTTGCACATTTCCTCCTTTTGCACAATCTGAGTGTTCTATCCATGACATGTACATTTCTCCTGTGAGATAAATAAAGCACATCTTATCTTAATTGTACTTTATCCTCCATTGGGACAAATCTTGAAAGTACAAAAATAATAATCTGTTTGAGGAAACCAGACCTGCCCAATTGTTTATCAAAGGCCCTCACTTTATTACAGACATGTGTTCAAATGCTGTGGAGCTGGGAACACTACACCTGGAACATGAAATACATGAGAAGGTGATTGGGTTAGGGTTAGTCAATCATAATGTGCAATAATCTGTGCAATAACAACTTTAATAATGTCATAATGGACTTTATAGAATCATGTTGTCAAGATGCATGCACTTTTTATGATGCTAAAGTCAGAGATTTTGTAATAATTTCTTGTTTCTTCATTATATCATTCTAAATCTAAATGCTTTACTTTGTGTGCTCCTCATTCCTACTGTTCTATAACCGGTGATGCAACACTGGAAACATAAATGCAGTAGTGTGATAGAGCGGCACACACCGTGAGGTACTGCTCCCTCTTGTGCACCACCTCCTGCAGCCTCCGTCTCCACAGATCCATGAAGTCCATGTCTGTGATGCAGAGGCTGGGGGCCTGCCTGATGCTCAGCAGAACGTCCTGCAGTCGTCTCTCCTCGAACACAGCCAGGTCCGTCTTCATCAGTTCCTCAAACAGCTGCAGGAAGCGCTGTGCGTACTTCATCAACTGCTCCTGAGACAAAAGACTGTGACGAGTCTTGTCACGATATAAACCGGGAGCAGCAGACACGTACCTGGATGGTGATCATGGCGTTCACAGATCGCACAGTCAAAAAATTCACAGCTCTAAATGAATCCACCATGTTTTTAGGCAAAGAGCTGAATCCTGCTGGAGCCATGAAGACCAGCGTCTTCCTCTGCATGGGGACCAAGCGTCTTTCTACCATAGACTGCAAGTCCTGAAGTGACTTCTACAAAGATTCACAAAAGTTAATGAATAAGATGCACTTTTATTCTTCCCTCAGCAGGAACATGTGACCGTCATCGTTGCACACGTGAAGAAGAACAACAAGGACACATCTGCAGCACTTAAACAGGATCTATCTTTTAGGTTAAAAGACAATAGAATATATTTGCTCTAAGGATAAGTGGTGGAGTCTACACTGCAGCAGGAGGAGCAGGAGCAAGAGGAGCAGCAGGAGGAGCGGGAGGAGCAGGAGGAGCAGCAGGAGCAAGAGGAGCAGCAGGAGGAGCAGGAGCAGCAGGAGCAAGAGGAGCGGGAGGAGCAGGAGCAGCAGGAGGAGCAAGAGGAGGAGCGGGAGGAGCAAGAGGAGCAGGAGGAGCAGCAGGAGGAGCAGAAGCAGCAGGAGGAGCAGGAGCAGAAGCAGCAGGAGGAGCAGGAGCAGCAGGGTCAGCAGGAGGAGCAGAAGCAGCAGGAGCAGGAGGAGCAGGAGGAGCAGGATGTACCTGAAAGTGTGTGTTGGAGTCGTGCAGGAGCAGAGACAGCTGGTGCTCGGGGTTCTCCTCAGAGGGAGGCTGCTCTCTCAGTTTGGAGATCGTCCGGTTGGCGTCACTTAGTTCCTGGACAAAGAAATGAAAGTAACGACGGTTCTTATAAACAATATGTAAATAAACATTCACCTGCTGCAGAGCTGGCACTTCAGTCTCCTCCTTCCTCCTCAATAACTGCACCTCCTCTGTCAGAGCCTCAGACTTAAACACACAAGTGTCAGTGATTTATTCACCGCAGAAGGAGTCTTTTAGGTTTGAGCAACATTTTGTATTTATCAAAAGTCCTGTTCATTAATGAACCCCTGCTGCCAGTTGGTTATAATGGCTCTTAGACAAACTCTTGGAGGAGACACAGTAATAATCATATTATTCTCACCTGTTGCTTTAACACACTGTGCTCCTCACACAGACGAGTGTTTATCTCCTCCTGCTCCTTCAGCTTCTCCTGAACCGAGCTCAAAAGATCCTCTTTCTGAGAACTCTGCAGGAAGTTATAAAAAGATGAATTAAAAAAGGGGAAATCATGTAGAGACAAAGAACTCAAACCAAAGCTTTATAAAATACACCGACTCCTCAGAATGAGTCCTTTTTCATCTTTAAACCTCGACATGTAAAACAGGTGCACTTTATTAATCCCCGAAGGGAATTTTGTCTTCTGCATTTGACCCACTAGTGGTCGCCGTAGTAACAGCGCCCGGGAACCATCTCGAGATTCGGCTTGGTCATGGTTGGGATATAAGGATTATATCCATCGTACATGTTTTTAGTGGTAGGGGAAACCGGAGCACCTGGAAGAAACCTACACAGACACGGGGAGAACATGCAAAATCCACTCAGGTAGACCCTATTCCGACCGGGATTCGAACCCATGACCTTCTTGCTGAAAGGCGAGAGTGCTAACCACTCCGGCCCCGTCTCAGTTTAAGTGCGTAGGTGCTGCCCGTGTTTAGAGGTTAGTTTTAACTCCAGACCATGCAAACAAAAGAAACAGTGTGTGATGAGTTGTGGCTTTGATCTGAGCAAAACACGGCACTAATGAAGCATGAGGCTAAACTTATTGGAAGAAATTGGTAAAAATGGGAGGGAGAGAAAAGAACTCCAACGTAGCCAGGTTTTTTTCAAAGCGAGTCAATATTGTCATTAGGGGAAAAATAAACCGTAGATTTATGATCAGGAAAGCATTAAATACATGAAAATAAACACATTTGTTAATGATCAAACCCTTATAACCAGGGCCACAGCACATATCCATACATGTTTAATAATGTGGTAAGTATATTTGTCCTTAGTATTTCCAATGGAAAACGGACCCGACACGCGTCAATGTACGTAAACAATAGGATTGTTTCTATTTCGTGCGTCCGCTGCACCCTCCGTGGACGACCGGCTCGATACGTGAGTCAGACGGACGCACGTCGCTGCAGTGGAGCCACTTCCATTCACCCTCATGGAGAGAACGGAAGCGGAGATGAAACTGACTCATTTGGACGGATACGTTGTACGTCTTACGCAGCCGGTGGAGTCGGGGCCTTTCAGTACAGAGCAAAAGTGTGGACACCCTCTCTCCTTCACCGAGTTCTGTTCATGACTATTGCTGTAGACCCGCACCAGACGGTTTTGGACCTGAACCCAGTCCAGACGGTTTTGGACCTGAACCCAGTCCAGACGGTTTTGGACCTGAAGCCAGTCCAGACGGTTTTGGACCTGAAGCCAGTCCAGACGGTTTTGGACCTGAACCACAGAGTGAAGGGGCCATAAGTGCAAAGCATCATGGGAACTCCTTCCAGACTGTTGGAGACCATTTCAGGTCCTGTTGAAGCTCATCCAGAGAATGCCAAGAGTGAAGCAGTATCAGAGCAAAAGGAGCTACTTTGAAGAACCAGAATATTTTAAATATAACACATATTTACACTTGGTTCATACTTTTTTACTACGGACATAATTCACATGAGTTCATCATAGGTTTGATGCCCTCAGTGTCAGTCTACAGTTTTCATAATCAACTTTTGCTCTGTACGGTACATTCCATACATCTTGCCTTATTTACTAAAAAACCTAAAAACCCCATACCCTTGGTGCCAAAGGAAGCTCTCGGGGCCACAGCCTGAAAAGTCTGGTCCCACCAGCTCCAGTAAAATGTTTGTGTGACTCTCGCAGGGTTTGCTTTTAGTCTGTTTCTGTGAAACACTGATGTTCATCTGTGGAAGGCGTCGCTGTGACGAGTGTCTCACCGTCTCCAGGTGGTTCTGCAGCTGCTCTTCCAGACTCTTCTTCTGCTCTGAGACCATGTGCAGAGTCTGCTCCAGCTCAGTAATCTGCAGTGAGACGTCAGGAGAGTTTATGTGTGAGTCTGTTGTTGCATCAGGATCAGGGTCTGGTACAAACCTGTGTCTGCAGAGAGTCTGTGCTGCTGTCCAGGACCTGCTGCAGCTGCTGCTTCTGTTGTGTGAGAGCAGCAAGAGTCTGCTGCAGCTGATCTTTGTCCTCACTGAGACCTCTCACTCTGGACTCCAGCGTCTGCAGCTCGTCTGAGGAGCAGTTTGCCTCCAGACTCTGAACCTGCTCCAGACCAGACGTCAGTTTAAAGAGTTCTTTTGTTTTGGACAGAGACACTCACCTGTTGCTTTAACACACTGTGCTCCTCACACAGACGAGTGTTTATCTCCTCCTGCTCCTTCAGCTTCTCCTGAACCGAGCTCAAAAGATCCTCTTTCTGAGAACTCTGCAGGAAGTTATAAAAAGATGAATTAAAAAAGGGGAAATCATGTAGAGACAAAGAACTCAAACCAAAGCTTTATAAAATACACCGACTCCTCAGAATGAGTCCTTTTTCATCTTTAAACCTCGACATGTAAAACAGGTGCACTTTATTAATCCCCGAAGGGAATTTTGTCTTCTGCATTTGACCCACTAGTGGTCGCCGTAGTAACAGCGCCCGGGAACCATCTCGAGATTCGGCTTGGTCATGGTTGGGATATAAGGATTATATCCATCGTACATGTTTTTAGTGGTAGGGGAAACCGGAGCACCACTCAGGTAGACCCTATTCCGACCGGGATTCGAACCCATGACCTTCTTGCTGAAAGGCGAGAGTGCTAACCACTCCGGCCCCGTCTCAGTTTAAGTGCGTAGGTGCTGCCCGTGTTTAGAGGTTAGTTTTAACTCCAGACCATGCAAACAAAAGAAACAGTGTGTGATGAGTTGTGGCTTTGATCTGAGCAAAACACGGCACTAATGAAGCATGAGGCTAAACTTATTGGAAGAAATTGGTAAAAATGGGAGGGAGAGAAAAGAACTCCAACGTAGCCAGGTTTTTTTCAAAGCGAGTCAATATTGTCATTAGGGGAAAAATACACCGTAGATTTATGATCAGGAAAGCATTAAATACATGAAAATAAACACATTTGTTAATGATCAAACCCTTATAACCAGGGCCACAGCACATATCCATACATGTTTAATAATGTGGTAAGTATATTTGTCCTTAGTATTTCCAATGGAAAACGGACCCGACACGCGTCAATGTACGTAAACAATAGGATTGTTTCTATTTCGTGCGTCCGCTGCACCCTCCGTGGACGACCGGCTCGATACGTGAGTCAGACGGACGCACGTCGCTGCAGTGGAGCCACTTCCATTCACCCTCATGGAGAGAACGGAAGCGGAGATGAAACTGACTCATTTGGACGGATACGTTGTACGTCTTACGCAGCCGGTGGAGTCGGGGCCTTTCAGTACAGAGCAAAAGTGTGGACACCCTCTCTCCTTCACCGAGTTCTGTTCATGACTATTGCTGTAGACCCGCACCAGACGGTTTTGGACCTGAACCCAGTCCAGACGGTTTTGGACCTGAACCCAGTCCAGACGGTTTTGGACCTGAACCCAGTCCAGACGGTTTTGGACCTGAACCCAGTCCAGACGGTTTTGGACCTGAACCCAGTCCAGACGGTTTTGGACCTGAACCCAGTCCAGACGGTTTTGGACCTGAACCCAGTCCAGACGGTTTTGGACCTGAACCCAGTCCAGACGGTTTTGGACCTGAACCCAGTCCAGACGGTTTTGGACCTGAACCCAGTCCAGACGGTTTTGGACCTGAACCCAGTCCAGACGGTTTTGGACCTGAACCCAGTCCAGACGGTTTTGGACCTGAACCCAGTCCAGACGGTTTTGGACCTGAACCCAGTCCAGACGGTTTTGGACCTGAACCCAGTCCAGACGGTTTTGGACCTGAACCCAGTCCAGACGGTTTTGGACCTGAACCCAGTCCAGACGGTTTTGGACCTGAACCCAGTCCAGACGGTTTTGGACCTGAACCCAGTCCACATGGTTTTGGACCTGAACCCAGTCCACATGGTTTTGGGGCTGGACCACAGAGTGAAGGGGCCATAAGTGCAAAGCATCATGGGAACTCCTTCCAGACTGTTGGAGACCATTTCAGGTCCTGTTGAAGCTCATCCAGAGAATGCCAAGAGTGAAGCAGTATCAGAGCAAAAGGAGCTACTTTGAAGAACCAGAATATTATAAATATAACACATATTTACACTTGGTTCATACTTTTTTACTACGGACATAATTCACATGAGTTCATCATAGGTTTGATGCCCTCAGTGTCAGTCTACAGTTTTCATAATCAACTTTTGCTCTGTACGGTACATTCCATACATCTTGCCTTATTTACTAAAAAACCTAAAAACCCCATACCCTTGGTGCCAAAGGAAGCTCTCGGGGCCACAGCCTGAAAAGTCTGGTCCCACCAGCTCCAGTAAAATGTTTGTGTGACTCTCGCAGGGTTTGCTTTTAGTCTGTTTCTGTGAAACACTGATGTTCATCTGTGGAAGGCGTCGCTGTGACGAGTGTCTCACCGTCTCCAGGTGGTTCTGCAGCTGCTCTTCCAGACTCTTCTTCTGCTCTGAGACCATGTGCAGAGTCTGCTCCAGCTCAGTAATCTGAAAAAAAAAGGATTTCAAAGGAAAATGTATGAATTCATGAGAACAGGGTCCTCGGCTCGAGCGATGACTTTGTGTCCTTTACTAAAAAAGAAATCAAAGTGAAAAGTAGGGCCTTGCGTATGTGACCAGACAGTTTGACTTAAAACTATATTGGAAGAAAAGATGCAAGAGCCGAGGATTCCACAATATTTTGTGAGTAACTTCCCATCAACTGTCACTCTTCACTGTCCCTGCTGAAGAAAAGCAGCCTCATAACATGATGCTGCCACCACTGTATTAGTCTCTGGGGATGGGGCGCTGTGTTGTGTTTTGCTCAGAACTAACATTTGTACCAAAAAGTTACATTCTGGAACATTTAACGTGTAGAAGGGGCTGAGGTCAGATGTGTGGCCAGTTTACTTTTATTTCAACACTTTCTATTCACCACGGGTCCATGAAAGGACAGATTTGCTCGACTGGTGCTCTGTACACTTCTCTATTGAACATAATAAAGATTTTATACTTGTTCTTGATGCTAGAGTTAGAGATTTTGTTTTATTTTAATGAGTATACTGTAGATATTGTTCACGTGTGTTGTGTTCTCCTCTTCCCTACTGTTCTATAACATGTGATGCAACACTGACATTTCCCCACAGTGGGACGACCAAAGGATCTAATGTTTGCCCCCTGTACAGATGCCTCCAGGGGAGCTGTGGACATCTGCTGCTCCTCGAGTCTGCTTCTGTGATCAGTGACGTTCTTGTTGGAGCTGTGAGTTTGGGCAGACAGCAGAGTCTGGGTAGATTTGCAGTGGTGCTTTACACTTTCCCAGACGATGGATTAAACTGTGACTGAGATGTTCAAAGCTTTGTGAGGTTCTGCAAACATGATCCTGATCTCTCTGGTGTGCTGCTTGGCCTTCATGATGCTGTTTAGTGACAGATACACTCAGGTGATAGCTCTGAGGCCCTCACAGACCGACTCTAATGATCGTAGATTACACAAGGGTTGGTTCTATTCAAATGATTTGGGAAAGATGTGAATATTCAGTCATCAAGAGCAATCAATTATGTTTGTAAATGTCCTAAAGGTCGGCTGTCCAATCATAGGCAAGCCACACTTTCATGTTGTTGTTTGAGGTTTCAATAAGTAAATTAATGAGTCATTTTGCTTATTTTTCACCGGTGACTGCTCCTTTGTCAGATTCTTTCAATAAAAAAAAGTGAATAAAGACTTTGTGGTTGTAACATGACAAATATGTTGAAGCCGTCCAGAGCCGTGATGAATCCAACATCTCATGAACTCTCATAAAACTTCCAGAGTGAAGATGTCTTTGTAGGTCAGAAGCACGACTGTCCAGAGAGATAAGACATTTTCTCACCGTCTGCAGGTGGTTCTGCAGCTGCTCTTCCAGACTCTTCTTCTGCTCTGAGACCATGTGCAGAGTCTGCTCCAGCTCAGTAATCTGCAGTGAGACGTCAGGAGAGTTTATGTGTGAGTCTGTTGTTGCATCAGGATCAGGGTCTGGTACAAACCTGTGTCTGCAGAGAGTCTGTGCTGCTGTCCAGGACCTGCTGCAGCTGCTGCTTCTGTTGTGTGAGAGCAGCAAGAGTCTGCTGCAGCTGATCTTTGTCCTCACTGAGACCTCTCACTCTGGACTCCAGCGTCTGCAGCTCGTCTGAGGAGCAGTTTGCCTCCAGACTCTGAACCTGCTCCAGACCAGACGTCAGTTTAAAGAGTTTCTTTTGTTTTGGACAGAGACACTCACCTGTTGCTTTAACACACTGTGCTCCTCACACAGACGAGTGTTTATCTCCTCCTGCTCCTTCAGCTTCTCCTGAACCGAGCTCAAAAGATCCTCTTTCTGAGAACTCTGCAGGAAGTTATAAAAAGATGAATTAAAAAAGGGGAAATCATGTAGAGACAAAGAACTCAAACCAAAGCTTTATAAAATACACCGACTCCTCAGAATGAGTCCTTTTTCATCTTTAAACCTCGACATGTAAAACAGGTGCACTTTATTAATCCCCGAAGGGAATTTTGTCTTCTGCATTTGACCCACTAGTGGTCGCCGTAGTAACAGCGCCCGGGAACCATCTCGAGATTCGGCTTGGTCATGGTTGGGATATAAGGATTATATCCATCGTACATGTTTTTAGTGGTAGGGGAAACCGGAGCACCTGGAAGAAACCTACACAGACACGGGGAGAACATGCAAAATCCACTCAGGTAGACCCTATTCCGACCGGGATTCGAACCCATGACTCTCTTGCTGAAAGGCGAGAGTGCTAACCACTCAGCCACCGTACAGTCTTACAGTACAGAGCAAAAGTGTGGACACCCTCCTCCTTCACTGAGTTCTGTTCATGACTGTTGCTGTAGACCCGCACCAGACGGTTTTGGACCTGAACCCAGTCCAGACGGTTTTGGACCTGAACCCAGTCCAGACGGTTTTGGACCTGAACCCAGTCCAGACGGTTTTGGACCTGAACCCAGTCCAGACGGTTTTGGACCTGAACCCAGTCCAGACGGTTTTGGACCTGAACCACAGAGTGAAGGGGCCATAAGTGCAAAGCATCATGGGAACTCCTTCCAGACTGTTGGAGACCATTTCAGGTCCTGTTGAAGCTCATCCAGAGAATGCCAAGAGTGAAGCAGTATCAGAGCAAAAGGAGCTACTTTGAAGAACCAGAATATTATAAATATAACACATATTTACACTTGGTTCATACTTTTTTACTACGGACATAATTCACATGAGTTCATCATAGGTTTGATGCCCTCAGTGTCAGTCTACAGTTTTCATAATCAACTTTTGCTCTGTACGGTACATTCCATACATCTTGCCTTATTTACTAAAAAACCTAAAAACCCCATACCCTTGGTGCCAAAGGAAGCTCTCGGGGCCACAGCCTGAAAAGTCTGGTCCCACCAGCTCCAGTAAAATGTTTGTGTGACTCTCGCAGGGTTTGCTTTTAGTCTGTTTCTGTGAAACACTGATGTTCATCTGTGGAAGGCGTCGCTGTGACGAGTGTCTCACCGTCTCCAGGTGGTTCTGCAGCTGCTCTTCCAGACTCTTCTTCTGCTCTGAGACCATGTGCAGAGTCTGCTCCAGCTCAGTAATCTGCAGTGAGACGTCAGGAGAGTTTATGTGTGAGTCTGTTGTTGCATCAGGATCAGGGTCTGGTACAAACCTGTGTCTGCAGAGAGTCTGTGCTGCTGTCCAGGACCTGCTGCAGCTGCTGCTTCTGTTGTGTGAGAGCAGCAAGAGTCTGCTGCAGCTGATCTTTGTCCTCACTGAGACCTCTCACTCTGGACTCCAGCGTCTGCAGCTCGTCTGAGGAGCTTTTCTTGTGTTCTTGTAGATGCTGGATTCCACTTTAAGTGTCCTGATCTGTTCAGATTATTACAATACAATTACCTACATATCTCAATGTAAAAAAAAAATACCGAATATAATATAAAATCAAAATTATATAATATATTTTTGGAATACTGGGCTTGGACTACAGATCACCCACTTGTGCCTCATGTTTTTCAGGCTGATCAGGAGCAGACTCCTCAGCAGTCTGTGCTTCCAGCTTCTGAATACACTCCTTTTGGGAACGGATCTTCTCTTGAGTAATCCTGAGTTCGTCTTGGAGCTCGATCATCTGTTGAAAGAAAAGATTAGATAAAACTGGAATATAACCAGGAATATGTGAAGCTTTACATCAGGAGGATCTCACCATTTCAATGTTCTCTTGGAGGTCAGCCTTGAGTTGGTCCCTCTCCTCTGTCAAAGCGGCTAAAGACGAAAAGCTGTGGTCTCTCTCCTGCTGCAGCGAGACCAGCTCCTGGGACACAGTCTGCATCTGTTGGTTCAACTCTGACACTCTCTGCTGATGAAGCGCCTCCTCGCTGGACAGCTTCTGCATCTCCTCCTCAAGCTGCTCTTGAAGGGAAAGCACAAGACTTCCGGCCTCGGGAACCTAATAAAAAAATGTTGTGGTTTAGCAAATTATAAATGTAATTTCTTATAATCATTGCAATAGTTTCAAGACACTTTGACATAAATAATAGATTCGATAAAAAAACAAAAGTGACAAGTGAGGCTTAATTCTGTTGGTTCAGTATTTAAAAACTAAAAAGGGCTGAGTGGAAAAGGGAGGTGAACCCCCATAGTCTGTACCAGGAGTGACAAATCAGTGGTTGCAGGATTTCATTCCAACAAAATAGCAGCAGACCCCACCCATGTTCAAGGCTTCAGGTTCAGACTGAACTGAAAAGTGAGAGTGGAGTCTGGTGTACTCCTTGGTTGGAATGAACTCCGGTATCCACACCCGATGATGACCGGTTAGACATCCAGACGACCGAAGCAGGAGAAAACTAGGCTGATGACTCCTCGTTAGAATCCTGTGGTGTGACTAAACCAACCTGTTCCATGCGCTGTTGCAGGGCGTCCCTCTCCTCACAGAGCGACTGCAGCCTGCTCTCCCATTCCAACATGGCCGCCTCATTTGTGGCCTGTGCGTTCTGCAGCTCTGACGCCGCCTGCTCCAGCTGCGAACGTAAAACCATCGACATGACAGTGCAGACGTTTCACTTTCCTGCTGTCAGTGACTCGCACTTGAGGCCAACGTCGCAGTAACGAGGTCTTTGTGTCACGTTTGGGGCCACAAGTCACTAAACTGAATAACATCATATTTACCAGGACATGAGCATCCTTTATTAGTCTGTGGGAACTTCAACAAAACTTATACTGTGTTTGTTTGTCCACATAAATCCACTATGTCTGCATGTTTTGTCATTATAGTCTGTGAATGTTTAACGCAACATAGATATATCTAACAGAATATGTAAATCTAATACTGTGCATTTAAGTGTTCTGTACTTTCTGTTGGATTGCCAAACTGTAAATACTGTATTTGTGAAAACTCAATAGACATAATGTAAAAAAAAAAAAAAAAAAGTTGAATAATATCAATAAATTGTGAAAAAAGGTCAAAAGTGTTGTGACTAGGGCTGCAGCCAAAATCTCTAAAGTTAAAAGTTTTAATAGTTTAAGTAGAAGTGTTTGACTGTCCAGGTCAGAAAAGTCAAACGTACTTGTTCCTCGAGTTCTTTCTGAATGTCTTCATCAGTTTTTCTGGTCTCCTCACAGTTGGAAACCTTTTCTTCCAATTCCCTTTTGAGCGTGTGGATCTCCTGCAGCTCCTCCGTCAGGGACTTTCTCACACACTCACTTTCTTCAAGCTTTAAACACAAACACAGCTTGAGTTCTGGATCTACAGCCCGTCATAACTTCCTTGAGAAAGTTCTTTGGATTAAGAATGAAACCTGAACCCAACTGAAGTACAGATGAGTGAGAGCTTCCTTTGTTTTGATTAATCTGTACGACAGATCTTTACACAAACATATGCCTGAGCTAACACAGCAGCAGAAGGACGTCCAGTTAGGGGCTGATGTCCTAAAGTTCTCTCGGTACCTGCTTGGTGAGCGTCCTGAAGTCCCCTCTGTACCTGCTTGGTGAGCGTCCTGAAGTCCCCTCTGTACCTGCTTGGTGAGCGTCCTAAAGTCCCCTCAGTACCTGCTTGGTGAGCGTCCTAAAGTCCCCTCGGTACCTGCTTGGTGAGCTTCCTAAAGTCCCCTCGGTACCTGCTTGGTGAGCGTCCTAAAGTCCCCTCAGTACCTGCTTGGTGAGCGTCCTAAAGTCCCCTCAGTACCTGCTTGGTGAGCGTCCTAAAGTCCCCTCGGTACCTGCTTGGTGAGCGTCCTAAAGTCCCCTCGGTACCTGCTTGGTGAGCGTCCTAAAGTCCCCTCGGTACCTGCTTGGTGAGCGTCCTAAAGTCCTCTCGGTACCTGCTTGACAGCGTCCGAAAGTCCTCTCGGTACCTGCTTGACAGCGTCCTAAAGTACTCTCAGTACCTGCTTGGTGAGCGTCCTAAAGTCCTCTCAGTACCTGCTTGGTGAGCGTCCTAAAGTTCCCTCGGTACCTGCTTGACAGCGTCCTAAAGTCCTCTCGGTACCTGCTTGGAGAGCGTCCTAAAGTCCTCTCGGTACCTGCTTGGAGAGCGTCCTAAAGTTCCCTCGGTACCTGCTTGACAGCGTCCTAAAGTCCTCTCGGTACCTGCTTGGAGAGCGTCCTAAAGTACTCTCAGTACCTGCTTGGTGAGCGTCCTAAAGTCCTCTCAGTACCTGCTTGGTGAGCGTCCTAAAGTTCCCTCGGTACCTGCTTGACAGCGTCCTAAAGTCCTCTCGGTACCCGCTTGGTGAGCGTCCTAAAGTCCTCTCGGTACCTGCTTGGAGAGCGTCCTAAAGTCCTCTCGGTACCTGCTTGGAGAGCGTCCTAAAGTCCTCTCGGTACCTGCTTGGAGAGCTCGGCCATCTTGTCGGGGAGCTGCTGCAGTTCCTCCAGTTGGACGTGGAGCTCCGTGTTATTCTCCAGACACGCCGTCAAGTCCTTGTTTAGCTTTGTCACCGTTCTCTCGAGGTCAACGTTGTCGATGAGATCTGCAGAGGAGGAAATGGTGAGAAAGACGTGCGACGGTAACCATGACAACAGGGTAAAGCAGCCTCAACTTTTAGGGACTTTGCCGTCGAGAAGAGAACCCAGTTTGACGTTCTCCTCGAAAGCAATGTTTAACTCTTTCTGAAGATCAAACTGCATTTTCTTGAATTTGGATTTCTCGCGCTCAAGCTGCGAGCGTAGACTGGCCAGTTCATGTTCATGACTTTCTGCGTTCAGAGTCAACGTTCCCTGCAAATAATAACAAAATAAATCAGACACTGGTTATGTTATGTTATATATATATATATATATATATATATATATATATATCATATACATACACACATATTAAAAATGCATTCAGAATCTTTACCGTTCTGCAGAGTTAGACCCATAGATTACAGATTAGGAGAGAACAGAGAGTTAGACCCATGGATTACAGATTAGGACAGAACAGAGAGTTAGACCCACAGATTACAGGATTAGGACAGAACAGAGTTAAACCCTATGGATTACAGATTAGGAGAGAACAGAGAGTTAAACCATAGATTACAGATTAGGAGAGACCAGAGTTAGACCCATTGATTACAGATTAAGAGAGAACAGACAGGCAGTACTGATGTTACCCTTCGTGTTAGCCTTAATGCAAAAGAGGCAGATTAGAAAGAAGTCCCCTTGCTAGCTGTAGCCGGGTTCAGAAACAGACGCTGCTGATGGTTCAGTCGTTTTGATACGGTTCATTATATTCTGGGGCAGTGTATAATCACTTAGTCCCGGGTTAGGGCGTCATATCTGGATTTGGTGTAACTTTTATAATCTGTAATTTTATGTAATTGTGTGTAACTTTTGCGGCCTCTTGTCCAGGACTCCCTTGAAAAACAGGTTCTTAATCTCAATGGGACTTTCCTGGTTAAATAAAAGGTTGAATGAAAAGACAATATCACAATAACCACTAAGATTATCGAGAGCTTTTAAACCACGGATTTAAGCCAAAAATGGCGAGTGAGCGGTTACTGAGCTTGTTTAACGGTTCAATGTCAGTCAATAGGAGCCAGAGAGAGTTGGAGCTAAACTCTGGCCATGAGCACTAATCACTAATCACAAACCATTGCCTGAAGCTCTTCGATAAAAGTCACATTTCTTTTTCAGCTGAAGCGACAACATTTCCATTTCCGTCTGAGGAGAAGACGACACAATATTAGTGTTTTTGACTGATCATTTGTGCGTCTGCGTCTTACCTGTAACTCCAGACACTTCTGTTCAGATGAATCTATGACCAACTTTAACAGTGATTTATTTCCTCACGCTGCTCAAGCTGAGAGTTAAAACAAATGTTATTATACTTTTATTTTGAAAGACTTTAAAACAGTGTGTTCCTCAAACCTCATCATCTTTCCGGATTTGTGCTTCCAACATTTCAAACTCGTCCGTTTCTTGTTTTTCCTCAAGTTTTTTGCAAAGAGAAGATTTTTCTTTTTCAAGTGTTTGAATCTGCTCCAGAGACAGCCCCAGCTCCTCTTTGAGGTAATCGCGCTCCACAAGCAACAAATCCTGTCGAAAACATGGGATTCAAAAGAAGAAATATGAAGCATGAGGCCGTTTACTTTGACTTTCCAGGTTTTAAAACGTGAAATAATATCTTCAGTTGAATGTAGAAGGTGAAACAAGCGCGAAATAGGGAGAAGTAGAATGTTTTTTTTACCCCCAAATCTTAAAATGGAAAAACACACAGATTGTAAGGACTAATGTATTTTAGTTTCAAAGGTTAAAACTGCTCTGAGTGTGATGTCATAGTTTTATAATGACATCATACTATAACAGGACTTAGGCCTGGACTCCACCGGGCGCGTCTCCGTTGACTGCTGTCCGTCAGACGTCCATAAAACGGACTAGTGGTCAAACCGGCTGCAGCAGCGCGCAGCTCTGGCTGTGCGTTTATCAGCCTGCTTTGTTTTTTGTAGGAGACACGTTTGGGCATTGTGTGAATGAATGAATATTTGGCTGATGGAGTAGTAAGAGTAAGAGTGTGAGTGTGTGGTGTGAGTGTGTGTCCGCAGCGTTTATTATGATCCAGCCTCTTCGTTTTGTTTTCTATACTTATTTAGCGCGTCATACACTTTTATCTGACCCAACTCCCCTCTCCGCAACTTTAGGCAACAGGCAGCCGCTATAGTTTCAAATAGAGGAAGCAGTGTGTGATTTGAATGAGCTGTGGCTATGATCAGTGCAAAGCACAGCATATTGAAGCATTGAGGACGTCGCGATGGATGAGGCAAAACTTATTGAAAGCAAAAAGGGGGAGGAGAGAAAGGAGAAAAGAACTCCAGTGTTGTTGTGAGATCTGTCTTTCATAAGTGCAGTATAGCTCTGTGTGTGTGTGTGTGTGTGGGAGCGCGCGGCGGTGAGGAGAGAGAGCGCCTCGGAGGTAGAGGGGACAGAGCGAGAGAAAAAAAAGCGAGGTGTATGTAAAGATTAGCGTACTTTACATTACGCGAAAAATGAATGGTAGATTTACGATCAGGAAACAATTGTTTAAAGTAAATACATGAAGAAAATTACACAGGTTTGTTAATAATCATTGTCATTAACAAATACTTATAACCAAGGGCTACAGCATATATCAATACATGTTTAACAATGTTGTAAATATATTATTCCATTGTATTTTCAATGGAAAACGGACCCGACACGCGTCGACGGACGGAACAATAGGATTGTTTCTATTTCGTCCGTCTGCGTCCGTTGCACCCTCCGTTAACGGAATACGTCCGACGTGAATCAGACGGACGCATGGCGGAGGCAGTGGAGCCACTTCCATTCACCCTCATTGAGATAACGGAGACGGAGATGAAACGGACATGTGTGGACGGATCCGTCGTCCGTTTTACGCGCCCGGTGGAGTGAGTCGGGGCCTGAGACAGGAGAAGGGGCGGAGCTACACGTTTGTGTTAGAAGTTCCTGATATGAGCGTGGATGGATCTACAGTGCCTTGCGAAAGTATTCGGCCCCCTTGAACCTTTCGCCACATTTCAGTCTTCAAACCTAGATATAAAAATATCTGCAGTTCATCCAGAGTGATCATGGGCCTCTTGGCTGCATCTCTGATCAGTCTTCTCCTTGTTTGAGATGAAAGTTTGGAGGGACGGGCCGGGTCTTGGTAGATTTGCAGTGGTCTGATACTCCTTCCATTTCAATATAATTGCTTGCACAGTGCTCCTTGAGATGTTTAAAGCTTGGGAAATCTTTTGTATCCAAATCCGGCTTTAAACTTCTCCACAACAGTATCTCGGAAATGCCTGGTGTGTTCCTTTGTCTTCATGGTTCTCTCTGTGCTTTAAACAGAACCCTGAGACTATCAAAGAGCAGGTGCATTTATACGGAGACTTGATTACACACAGGTGCATTCTATTTATCATCATCAGTCATTTAGGACAACATTGGATCATTCAAAGATCCTCACTGAACTTCTGGACTGAGTTTGCTGCACTGAAAGTAAAGGGGTGCGCGAATAATATTGCACGCCCCACTTTTCAGTTTATTTGTTAAAAAAGTTTAAATTATCCAATAAATTTCATCCACTTCACGATTGTGTCCCACTTGTTGATTCATGACAAAAAAATAAATTTTTATATCTTTATGTTTGAAGCCTGAAATGTGGCGAAATGTTGAAAGGTTCAAGGGGGTTCCGAATACTTTCGCAAGGCACTGTAAAAACAACTCCAGGTCCATTTTTGATGAGGGAACAATGTTACGGTGCTGCAGTGGTTAGAACTTTGTGACTGAAAGGTGCTATATAAATAAACTATAACATGGGGAAAGTTTCTTTTAACACTTTGGGTTGATACTAAAAAGATGATGAGAAAATACCTTTTCCGAGGAGAGAGATTCACACAACTGGATGGCCTCTGAAAACTGCCTCCGCATCTAGAAATCAAATAATGTATCAATAATATTCTCCACCATGTAAGGTTGTAACCGTTTCTAAAATGAAATACCATTTTGGGCATGAATGGTTTTCTCTGGACTTTGTAAATGATTCTAGATACCTCGAGAATGACTCATGATATTGAAACGTGTTCATTCTTTGCTGAACATTTACTAAGGACCAGCTCCAAACCTGATTTTCGTCCGTCTGCGCCTCCTCCAGCTTGGCCTCTCGCTGCTGCGCCTCCTCCAGCTTGGCCTCTCGCTGCTGCGCCTCCTCCAGCTTGGCCTCTCGCTGCATGCGCCTCCTCCAGCTTGGCCTCTCGCTGCTGCGCCTCCAGCTGCTGTTCCAACTCCGTAACTCTGTCAACCAACGCTTTCGCCTTTGACTCCGCCGCGCTTTTCTCACAACTCTCGATCTCGAGTTGTTGCTCGAGGGGCGGCCATTTTCTCAGACAAGTCCCTCAGCTGCTCCCATCGACGCTGATTCTTTAGGACTAGAGTGAAAGGCAAGAAAAAGGCATTAGGTTTAACTATGGTTTTATTTGGGAAAACCGTCTCAAGCGAATGCAAACACACCTGTCTCCAAAGCTGCGTGTTGTTATAGAGGTTTGAGTGGCATCCATGTCTTCTGGGAGCTCCTCAAACGCATCCCACGGAGGATAGAATTCTTGATCTACTTTAAAAACAAAACAAAAACGTATAAGAAACCAGTTATAAGTTTGTCCAAGCAACATCAAATTGGGTAGAAATACATAGACATCATTGATGACAAAATACAAATAAATCCTATTCCACACTCATCCCTTTGAGTCAAGACTGGCTTTTTCCAATCATAGCATTTCTTGTTTTTGATTCTCTGATCTGTGTTGGTGAAGCGTTGTTTTGTAACTTCCTCTGAGATAACTGTTGTATTTAGTTTAGATACAGTAGATTAAAGGCAAGTGTCATGTTATACCAGCAGCAGGGATATTACCCAAACTTGCACACAAAATAATTCTGTGAAATCCCAAAGGTCGCAAAAGGAACCATGTTGAAGCGAGTGACCACAGGATTTCTCCATCGTGAGATCAATAAACTTGATTTTATCTTAAATGGTGATGCATCGGTTTTATACAGTGCTTTTCTGGACACTCAAAGTCTTCACATGTCATTATTCTTCACTCCAAACACAGGTGATAAACTACTGTAGCCACAGCTGCCCTGGGGCACACTGACAGAAGCGATGGCAACCAGTCTGTGCCATCGGCCCCTCCCACCACCACCAACCATTCACACACACCACCAGACTCATTCAAGGCAATGGGGGTGAAGTGTCTTGCCTAAAGACACAACAACAGCAGACAGTGGGAGTCAAGGTGGTGAAGGTCGGGCTCGAACCCACGACCCTCTGGCTCAAAGGCCAATGCTCTACCAACTGAGCCACTGTCGCCTGCATTGTATGGTTTCATATTCCAGTGTGGTCATTTGTTGAGGGGACTTTGAGTAATATACGTCTTTGCTTCATTCAAGCCCTTTTTAATCCTTGTCCTGTGCTGCATTTCTCTGTGGAAGTATAAGATTAAAAATAACAAAAGGACAAACTCACATGGCTCAATGCAGGAGACGTTGACTCTCCTCCTTTTGGCCATTTCAGAAAGAACAGCCTCAGAGGACGCACTGGAGGTGGCTGCGAGTCGAAGCATCTTCCCGCCCCAGGTCATCCCTGCGTTTCGGAGCCTAAAAGATCATATCTGGTCAAACATAACTGAAGAAGAAAGGCTAAATGTTCTTGATCCACAACAGAAATAACCAAATCTTTAAAAAGTCAAAAGTGAAAGAGATAAAATATTAATGTCAAAACTACATAATAGTATAATAGTTTATTTTAAAACAACATACAGAAGTACAGCTAAAGTAAATATTAACTGATGTAAGTATACAGTGTGTTTCTATGGTAACCAGCACTTTTCTCCCAGTCTAGGATGGAGATTAGTTCATAAACTTACAATTGCATAGAAATAAACGAAATACAGCATAGAAAACAAAGTCAAAGTCCAGCAGATGGACCGCTGTGGGAGTTAAAGTGCTAGTACCTCCTGAACAGTCAAAGTCCAGCAGATGGACCGCTGTGGGAGTTAAAGTGCTAGTACCTGCCGAACAGGTGCCGGTTTGGGGTTGGAGCTGACCAACAGATTAGTCAAGTTCCGGATCCGGTCTTCCTGCTCTCGCTGCAGCTGGTCTTTCTCTTGAAGTTGTGAGAGCAGCTCCTTCTCTGTGGCGGTGCTTTGAGTCACAGACGAAACCTGACGAGTCCAAAAAGCCACGTTAACAAAGTGAAAACAGCAAAATGCAGTAATGATAATGAATCTCTCGCCTCCTGAAGTCGCGTTTGAGGTCGACGATTTCGTTGCGGTATCGTTTGAGCAGAGCGCCGTCGTCAGACACTTCGGTGACGTGGGGGGTCGTTCTTCATCTTCTTGGGCCGTGCTGGCAAACTGCAACACAAGAACAACTGAAGGGTTTTATCCTTTACTCTTGTTAATGAGACCCATTTAATCCGTGAGTGTTTTTAATTTGCGATTCTGTTCTTTGTGTTTATAATATTTCGTGAGATCCAACTGTATTTTAAACATAATGTAGATTATGTTTAGGATTTATGCCTGTTGTGATATGGGCTTTGGAGGCGCTTCTGTGTTGGGAAAAAAACGCTCGACAAATAAAAGATTTATCTATAAAAGTAAGAAACAAAAGATTTAATTATCTTTATGTATTTTTCATCAAAAACTTAACATTTCTAAATTATAGTAGTTGCAGGACTTTACTGTTACAATGTCAAGAGAAAGTACATTTTGTCCACATTCAGGCTGCCTCATGTGTTTATGTAGCAACAGCAGCAAACTTCAGTCCTTAAAAGTAATTTAAAAGTCTTTTAAATTAATGAATTGATTTAGCGACGAGTTTTTTTAAGAATCAGAATCTTTTTATTGCCATGTGAGAAACAGCGAAGTCACAAGGTTTTATATATTAGAATATTAAGATTATTATGTATACATTTATATATTTTTACCTTTTCATCACTTCAGCACCAAAGCAAACTCCTAGTTTGACAGTTTTCTTACTTACAAATCGCCTTAATAATCTCTGATTTCAGATTAAAAGTAATATCACTTTAGCTGCTTACTTTAACCGTTAGCTTCCATGACTCATTCACGCAATCTAATCTGGCAATAAGTATGTGTGCTATAGGTAATAAAACCTAGTCGATTAGAAGTTGGCCCTCATCGGCTCATCACATAAACCACAGCTGATTGACAAAATAAAACACAGACATCGACATTGTTTATACAGGTCAGAGGGTTTAAAGAAATGGTTATAGTTTCGGTAATTACAGTAATCTGTCCAGTGGGAACTCTGACCTGTAAAGTGCTGAGGGTTTCATCAAAAGCAGCCGGTGGTGATTGTGCATCAATGATTACTGTTTTTTGCATTTCCGCCCAAAGAGTTCTGGGAGGATACGGGTGAGTTTACTGTCTCTGTAGCTCGTGTATCCCCTGAGAAATAAAACACATGCAAACGATGAACTCTAGATCTATAAAGTTAATGATTATACAGAAGCTTTGGGTCGTGGGCTCTGTAGCTGTGGGGCTGTACAATAGAAATAAGGGACATTTCGTTGGGTGGTCTAGTGTAGACCCCTGTGGGAAGGTTTAACTGGGGGAGACTGTCGCACCGTACTGCAAATGTAACCAAGAAGATGCATTTATCAGTGAATTGTAAATCATGTATTTAACGGACTTGTGACTTTCATCCGTTAGCTTCTTGATGACTTGTCCAGAGAGTGAACAGACTCTTGTGATGTTGCAGCCTTCTTTGAATCTGGCTCCTACAAACAGAACAGAACAAAGACTGAAGCAAAGAAGTCTATAAAGCAACGAAGAGGCCAGAAAAAACAGAACAAACCTTCAGCTCCAGTTTGACTGGGCTCGTTCAGAGCCCGCAAGGTCCACGAGATTCTGAAATGAAGACGAGAATGACACATGCTCCAAACCTGCAGATCTATCGTCTGAGAAACACTCACTAAATGAGACACAATGATGGCTCCGTCTGAGTTTTCACAGTCACTCTTTTCCCGGCTTTCCAAAATCTATAAAAAAGGTAAAACAGTGAAAACGACTCAGGTTCATTATTCCAAGAGGAAAACAAAACTTACCATTCGGAAGATGGTGTGAGAGCGACTGCTGCGCTCATTCATTTTGGGTTTTACCATAATGTCGATTTTCTGTAAATCAGAAACAGGCTATAACTCCAAACACGTTTGTTTAAAACTCATCTTTTATGATCTTACTTTCTCCAAAATCTAATCCAGTGCAAAGCTTGTGCAGTACTCGTCACCAGCTCCTCACTCAGGTCGGCCACATAGATGTTTTTCTGCACAAGTGAAACAGAAAATCCTTTCTTTAAAGGGTGGACAGTGACAGTTTTATTTAGAGTTTTAGTGTATAACTGAATTTCATAATAGATCCATAATTAAAGGAACACCCTGAAAACTGCACTTACGTTCAGTGCCTCTCTGACTTCCAAGGCTTCCTCTTCCAACTGTCCACCAAAAGACGCTCACAGGTCTCATTATAGATTTCCATGTACGAGACTCTGAGCAGGAATTCCTTTGAGGGGAACACTGAAACAACAAATATTCAAATACAAATCAATCAGAACAAGGGCTGTAGCAGTTTAAGGAGGCTCACAGTCTGAATGGTCCTGAAAGATGTCTTCTACAGCCAATGGAATGACTCCTGGGTTTTTATCACAGCCCATCATGCTGAAGGTCTTTCCCAGATGAAGTTTGTCCATAGGCAAATATCGTCCCTACAATCCACAAAAGTCTTAAACTTGACGCCACACTGTGATAAACTTAAAATATAAAGTACATTCTAGACGCACCATTGTATCCTTGGACAGTAGACACGACCAGAGGTTTGGCAATAGGTCTGGTAAAGTTGATTTGTCGTTTCATGAGCAGTAAAAACACGATCTAAAATATATTTCAGAATCATATATTGTTATATTTATCACATTCTAAAAAAGCACCATTATGGAAAGGCAAGCATAGACATAATTTAAAAACATACCAAAACTGAAACTTTTGACTGAAGCTTCCGTCAATTTGATGGACAGAGTTATTGTCAGCTTTCCAATAGAGCTGTGCATTTTCAGCAGCATTCTCCTCCCTGTAGAGCACAACACGTGACACTTCTGTTGTTTTCATGATACACATTCTTAAACCTCAGGTGCATTTAGTTTTCTATAACTAAAATCACAACAGACGCCTGCTGTTTGAATTTTAGAGCTTTACAAAACATCGCTTGAGAGAATTCTTACTATTTTCCCACTCCATTTGGAGCTGACAAATTGTGAATATGCAGAGGTCTCCGCTAGGCCTGTCACGATAACAAATTTCGCTGGACGATTAAAAAATTTGTCTCAGAAATTATTGCGATAAGCGATTATATTGTCGTTCTGAGATCATTTGCATCGATTACAATGATAATGTAGGTACACCATTTCAAAGAGAAATAAACTTTTATTTTTAACGAATATTTAACGCTAGAACACAATAAATTAACAACCAAAAACAATAATAAAATAGACTCAGTCTCTTAACAAAAAATGACCAGGAATAAAACTGCCAGGACCTTTGTAAAGAAAATGTATGATTGTAGGTGAGTATGAATTGTCATGT